GGTGGAAGTTCTGTCAGCTCCCACTTGCTCAAACTTTCATCTTGCAAATTTCTTTATAGCTCTGTGAAACAATAAGAATGGGTGCCCCTGACCCACCACCCTCTTCACTTTTATCATCAACAGAACTATGAACTGTCAGCAATAATTCATCATGTACTTTTTCAGATACTATATTTGTGTTATCATTATCCATCTTCTTAGGATTCCTGCAATTCCTCCTTATGTGGTCGGCCTTGCCACAATTCCAACAGTTTGTCTGTTGACCAGACTTTGATTTTGATATCCCTCTATTTGAATTCTTGTCATGCCATCTCCCACTGAAATCAACATTCAGTGTCGAACTCGTACATGAGATCTTGTCAGAATCATTTCTGCGCATCTTCTCAGCCAAAATCAAATCACAAATACCATTACATTTCAGTTTAAATTTACCTGTAGAATTGCTAACTGTCATCCTCATGACTTTCCAACTATTTGACAACGATGCCAACAATATAAGTGCATGTATCTCATCATCAAAATTAATTTCAACAGACGAAATTTGATTTGTGATAGTATTGAAATCATTCAGGTGTTAAGCAACAAAAACAGATTCTGTTATCTTCAAGTTGAATAACTTCTTCATCAAGTACACCTTGTTATCCGCCGATGACTTTTCATGCATACCTGATAAGACTGTCATGAGATCTGCAGTAGTCCTCTCCTTCACGACGTGTGCAACGGACCTCGATAGGGTCGATCGAATAACCCCCAAAACCTGTCGGTTCAACAGATTCAATTCTGTCTTATCCATCGTTTCAGCTCTTTGACCTAATAACGGAAGATGAAATTTCTTCTCTTCTTCTCATAAAGGTAATCCAATCCTCTATCTGCATTCTGCAATAACCAAAATATGTGTCATCAAACTTCTCGATCCCTGAAACATTCACTTCATTTGTAGTCATCATTCTTTCTCATATTCAAACAAAGCTCTGATACCAGTTGTTGTTGTGGGGTCTAGATATATAAGTTGTTCTTGTGGTATATCTATAAATCAAACAAGAGAAAGATCAACGACGAAGTGAAAAATAGAATGAGAAAAATTTCACACCACAAACAGTAACACAGTGGAACACACAGATTTACGTGGTTCGGCAAATTGCCTACGTCCACGGAGTTGCAGAGGATTTTTACTACTACTTGAGAAATTTACATCAGTCGATCACCTCGACTTACAAGAGGAATCTCTCACTTTGTTGCTCTCTCTTCTTCTCTCTCTGTTCTTCTCTGTCTACACCGCGATACACCGAAGAAACCCTACACCGAGATACATCGAAGAAGATAAACTAACTAGAGAAATAAAACAAATTTCTCTTCTGCCACAAGCCACCAAGAAGAAATCAATGGAGAACAATTTTCTTCTTCTTCTTTTTTCTTCCTTATGCTGTAAGGAATTACTTCTTGCACTTTCCTTTCTTCTATCCTGAGGAAGCCTGAAGAAGAACACCAACCGTAACTTCTAAACTTCAAGGAGAGCCGTCTGAAGTATTTTATCGCGAAACCGGGCGGCGCGGGAGCAGATCGCGTAACCGTAAGGTCACAGTCGTGACCTTTTGCGATCGGCGTAAGCGAGAGTGAGCGCTTCACAAATCGATGTCAGACGTAAGCGGAAGGGCGGGAGCGGGAGATCGGTCTCCAGCATAACACACAACAGTAAGGGTCCCTACCCCATCACCTTGCCATCCTAAAATCATTCGATTATTATTGCTGCCACTTTCTCCTCCATCAACTGGCATCATCTTCTTGGACATCCATCTCAAACTGGTCTTCTTCAATCTGCTTTATCTCTTCCTAAATTTCCAAAATCTTTGTTACTTCTCCTTGTAATTCGTGTTTAGGAGCTAAGAGTCATCGTCTTTCTTTTCCTTTATCCACTACTTGTTGTTCTAATATTTTACAGCTTAAACATGCTTATGTATGGGGCCCGTCCCTTGTTAATTCAAATCAAGTATTCAAATAATATTTGTTCATTGATGATATGTCTCGTTATTGTTGGGTTTACTCTATAAGATATAAATATGATGTGTTCTCTTGTTTTCTTAAATTTAAAACACTTGTTCAAAACTTACTCAACAATCTCATCAAGTTTTTATACTCCGATGGAGGAGGTGAATATTGTAACACTACATTTCAAAATATTTTTCTCAATATGACAGTCTCCATCCATATTTATGTCCATATATGTTCATATACGCCTGAACAAAAAGACTTTGCTGAACAAAAATAGCGACACATTGTGGAAACCATGCAAGCATTACTTCTTGATACAAATATACCTCAAAATTTTTTGGCAGATATTCTTCTTATGACTGTCTATCTAATTAATTGTTTTCTATCTCCAAAATCAATTATATGTTCCTTCGAACTTTTGTATGTTTGCGTTATCCATGCTTGCAAGCTCAATCCGCCAACAAATATATGTCTCGCTCATCTCCATATAATTTTCTTGGGTACTCCACAGACTTCAAAGGCTACAAGTGCTATAATCCTGCCACCGGCAAAATTACCATATCCCGTCATATTATATTTTATGAGGATGTCTTTCGGTTTCATACCAACCTAAGTTCTCTTAAACCTCTATCCTCACAACCTCATCTTTTACTTCTCCTTCCTCAATAAATTCAATCTTTATCTATTGGGCTTCTTATACACAGGCTTCAGTTTTTAAGCCCAATGAGCCCAATCCAATGCTTTATCATTCGGGAAATTTTATCTGTCCATTTCTATGTATTTAGATATCTAACTCCTAAAATTTCATATTTACAATTCTAACACTGGTTTCATAAACCAAGCATGAAAGGGTAAATTTTCACTCTCAAACACTTTGGGGCAGTTTATTTGGTGCGGTGGCGTTTTGAAAATGCACCTAGAGTATTTGGGTAAACTGCGTTTTGGCAGCTCATGCGTTTTGAAAACTCTGAAAACAGCGTTTTCTCACCGCACTTATCTATGAGCGGTGACAGCTTTCTGACAACGGTCTGACTTTTGCAAAAAAAAAACAAAAATTTCTAATAATCACCGCACATAACTTATCAGCAGATTATTTTTAATCAACTTATCAGCAGATTATTCAATAAACTGCAGCTGCCCCAAATGGACCCTTAATAATAATGATTAATGTGGTATGTATATAAATACCCTTAATAATAATGGTCAATGTGCTAAATATGCTTTTTTATTATTTTAGATTGGAGACCATGGAGATTATTTGCATGTATTTAATTGTAATTAAACAATTGTCTTCTAAGAAAAATGATGAAAATTCAATTTGAGTGTACGCTAATCAGATCAAACTTGGGTTGAAAATAATGATGTCGTCAGCCTAATAAGGAAAGAGTATTTTCCATTTCTAAATATTTGAAATAATATTATTAGGCTTCATCCAACACAACTTATTTACTTGGTTTTTTTTTCCATCTGATAAAAATTTTAGAAAATCTTTAATTTTAATTTTTTTTATTTTTTATTTATGATTTTGAACTGATTTTGGAAAGAGCTGTTAATTTTTGTGAATGCTGCGTTGAATTACTGTATATAAAAAATATAACAGCGTTGATCTTGAAGTGATCTAAAGGTCAAGAGAAGAAGAGTATGACGAGGGAGGGCCCACTGACAGAAGAATGCGAGGACCACTAATTTGTTTTGGTGCACTCGTTCAAGCCAAAGCCAGTAAGGCCAAACAGACCGGGCTACAAAAGATGACAAAATAATTCGAGTTCAAACAGTTTGATCAAATTGTCATCCGAGTCAACTATCACAAATAAACCAATATGAGGAAATAGTCAATCCCTCACTATCTCTACTCATATCAGGGACTCCCAGAGGATCCCATCAAAAGTCAATGATCAACAGCCGAGTCATATCAATTACCAACCAGATCGATCAAGTGCAGCCGATCAAGTGGATCTCAACCGACCAAGCTGATGTTGTTGACATGAAGTCAATCAAGCTCAACAAACCTAGCCATAAAACATCTGAGCAATAAGCCATGCATATAAAATGCCAAGAATGCCCTATACGGCCATCTTTAAAGTAAAAACAAAATGCAAAATCATCATATCTCACTCTCCATCCTATAAATAACGATATATTTTTATGAATCAAACACGATGGACAAGACATTGTACTATTCATTATTGTTCACTTTTCTCTCTCTCCCTCCGAGCTCACATTCATCTATATTCCTTAGGTGTGATTCACCCAAATTTACCGGCAATTAATCAACAGTAAGTCAGTATTTGACTTGTCGTTTAAAAGTTTTTAATCATAAGTAAAGACTACAAGTCAGTTCAAAAGTTACTTTTGCATATAAATATGAAATCAAAATATTCTGTTTAAATTTTAATTAAGATTTTAAATTATGAAATTTAGTTTAAATTAATTATTTAATAAAAAACAAATTAGTTAGTTGCATTGTGTATTTATCATGAATAAATTAAATGTAAAAAAAATGATTTCAACTAAATTAAAATCATAATATTTCAAAACACAACTTCCAATGGAATCACTTTCCTCACAATTGAAATTAGGAAAATAAGGAGGATAAAAAAAAATAAAGTAGACCGGAAAATGGATGATGAAACTTGACTTTTTGTAAAAGCAACCTTATCCATTCAATAATTGCATAGAAGAGGTACATAAATAGTAGATTAATTTGATTGAAATTTGGCTCCACGCTCACAAAACCATCAATAATTAACAATTTTTTATTGATAAATTATATGATCTATTCAAATATATTGAACTTAGAATAATCTGATCTCATGCCAATTAAGCCTCTGCTAGAAAGCGATTTAAGAAATATGTTGGCTCATTTCAATTGGACATTGCTTAATTATATATATACT